AAAAATTTAGCTTGAAAATTTTTTTGCCGGAAAACAGTTTTTTTAACTTCCCGTAGGGTAGTTATAGTAATGGGCCGAAAATTGAAAATGAAAATTTATGCATTTCTTGACGTTTTGAAGGTTTCTGAACATTTTGGTATACCTCAGAAAAAATGTATGTGTGTGTGTATGTATGGATACAATTTTTCGTCCACGTTTTCGGGCCCACGGATCAACCGATTTAAATGGTTGAAAAATATTTGATTCCTATTGATAGAGAGATTTGCTTATTAGTTTTTGGCAAAGGCAGGTCCATCTGTTTCGGAGATACGGAGCAAAGAGTGCAGAAAGTAGAAATCGTGTTTTTGAGAGAACGAAGCATCTGTTTTCAATAATCCACAAAATATTCAATTCGTATAATGATGGGGAGAAGTGGTGATTAAATTTTGGCAAAGGCAGGTCTAGCTGTTTCGGAGATACGGAGCTAAATATGCAAAAAAATCAAAGTTTCAAAAAACCTTCTGCACGTGTTGACGAAACAATTGCTTTTGAAAAATATAATTTTGTTTCAATTTTTTTTTAAATTTCAATGTTTTTTTGAACTAAATTTTATTTTTTGAATATTTAATTATGGTACGGCATTTTCCAGCAATTTGCCTTAAAGTACGATGCCATACACCACCAGTTAGTTTAGCTTATGTTTCATTATTTTCACATTCACATTCAAATTCTTATATAAACTTTTCAGTTCAATATAAACAAATTATAATTTATAATAGTTTTTATTTTTATTGATAGCCTTATAACGCGGTGCAAATGACGTACCATGTAATAATTCAGATTTTCTTAGAGCGCGGTTCCCATACAACACGATTACGGGTGTCCATAGAACGCTCTACGAGTTCGCCTGGTACATCAAATCCGATTTTTCACAGCGCGGTTTCCATATTACACGGTACGCATCTCCGCGTTATAGGAGGGTTAACAGTATTGATAATAATTTCGGCAAATTCAGATTAGGTATATTTGATCTATAAGATGCTCCATGACGCTGGTCGACTAAAAACATGTGCCATCAGCCAGAAAAAGAAAGAGAATTCATCAAAATTTAACTGTGTTATTTCCATTGGACTAAAAACATCAAATTACTTCCCAACAACCTGATACAATGATGATAAACCAAAGTTTTTATAAAATTATTATTATACTTCTTGTACCTAATCAAGCGATGATGAAATGATACCTTATTGACTAATTACAAAATTGCTAGTGAAATAAAAATCAGTATTTCATAAGTGAAATCTTCTCCGTGACAAGTGTATAGTTCTCTTCTATTCTCATCCAATCTATAAAAAAGCTGTGCCTCCTCCTGTAGCCTAAGTCTTCTATTTTTTTCCAAATTTGTAAATTAGCAAGGACGGCTTCCGAAATTGGATTTTGTAATTCTTATAGAAAACGCAATTATTGTTGGCAACATTAGCGGCAGAAAACTTGCTGTTGTTGTTGTAGTGTTGATGACTTCGACATTGTTGTTGGCTGAAGTCTCTTTATTGGCAGTTGTTGGGAATAAGTGGTATAGTCCTAGTTTTGCTGGCGATATAAATCCGGCTAGATTGGAGGAAATTGGATGAAATACACAAAAAATAGTGCATTATACTAGATTATACTTAGAGCCTAAATATTGGTTTGCCAAGGAAAGAATTGGGTTGAATTGGTTAACAGGTTTCGAATTAAAGTTTTTACTGGGTCTTAGGGTACTTTTCGTTGAACTCAAGTTAGCACTCAAGTTTAAAAATATTGATTATCTTATTATTATATTATATTTTGCTTATTAAATATAATATCAGGTGTATGCACAAAAATTAATTATGCTTTTCGCGGTAAAGTTAACAAAATCGTTCATTCTATGTTTCATTTTTGATAATAGACTTCTACTTTGTCATCAGATAAAAACGAAATAACATAAGATTGCTATGTATTTAAATTTGTGCCATATATATTTGTCACCATAACAAAAAAATTGTAATCAAATGTTGCTCCCGAAATTTTATTTCATTTTTTCGAACTTACCGCGTTTTGTTCAAGAAATTCTACAACTCAATCAGGTTTTATAAAAAATTCAGATAATTAGTCACTTAGTCAGTAATTTTATAATAAAATGATATTATTATTATACTAATCAAATCCGTTTTCTTTTTGCAAAATCAATTAGGATTTTAGAAAATCCTCAATTAGTTTCAAAATATTCTCACATAGTGTATATGCTAAACTAATGCAATCAGTTTTTCTGGATATATTTATTGATCTGAACTAAAAGCATTAGTGTTATTTTTTGATAAAAAAAATAATTTAGTTTTTTATTTATAAGGGGGCGTTCATTAATCATGTGTGGCTTTTATGGGGAGAGGGGGGTTGACAAGAAATCACGAAAAAACATGTGGGGGAGATAGGGGTCTAGCAATATTACGAGGGGTCTTATAATATTAAGAGGGGTCTTGTAATATTAAGAGTGGTCTTGTAATTTTAAGAGGGTCTAGTAATATTAAGAGGGGTCTAGTATTTTTTACCCCTACTTTTGAAAAAAATCCAAACATTGTCAAAAATAAATAAAAAAATTTACGATTTTTTCGTAAATTCGAAAAATTTTACGTAACAAAAAATACACGTAATGTTTGGTGGGCGAGGGGGTGGGGATGCAAAAGCCCCTAAAAACTCGATCACCTGATTAATGGACGCCCCCTAATTATTTGTACATTTCAGGTACTTTTAAAACAAACAAAATATTTTTATACGTTTATACACTTTGTAATTATCAAATATAAAAAGTGAGCTCTTTGAATTTTTAAATAATTGAAAAGTGTATAAATGTATTAAAAAATGTTTGTCTTAACAGTTTATGAAAATGTGGATATTTCATATGTCCGAAAGGGACAAATAATTATAAATGATAAAATATTTTTTATTTGAAAAAAAAATACACTAAAGCTTTTAGTTCAGTATATATATATTAGGGTGGTCCTTAATATGGATATTTTTGAACTTTCTTGCTCCCAGGGGCTCAAATGCTATAATATATAATATATATATATATATATATATATATATATATATATATACGTATATTCAATCCGTATATCCAAATCAAATAATTATATTTATTCTACGAAGTACTAAAAACTTGGACACTAAATATTCAAATACTAAATATTTAGCTTTTACCTCATATATTCTTTTCATCTACTAAATGATGAAGATGAAGATAAATAAGAATTTAATTCAGAAGCCATTGACTTTTCAAATGATCCATAATTTTTTTAAATATTACCAAATGATTATGTTATTAGTTAACTTATATATGTAAAAGATAATAATAATAATAATTTTATATTAAGAAATGAAATGTTAGCATTAAACATATTTTTGCAAAATTTTAGCTTTATTTAAGATTTAATCTTTTAGAAGTCAATGGCGCATTGAAAACAAAAATAAAACAATTAGATGATATCATGAATAATATATTACTAAAAAATAATAATACAATGATATATAATATAACTCTTATTCAATATACTTTAAATCTACAATGAATATACAAAAAGCTCACTACATACTCTCATTCGAGTAAAGCGTCTTAATTACGAACCGATAATAAAAAAAAATCGGCTTCATCAAATATATTGGTTATCAAAAAATAGCAAAAATATTATTTACAACTATTGGATAAAAAAAATTAATAATCAATTCAAAAAATTGTTCTTGTGGCAATTGTAGTTTATGAATATGTACACTTGTTAGGAAATCTGATTAAGTTTTTAACAAAATAATAATAATAAGAAACAATATGTGAAAATGATAGATGATTATCTAATTATCTACTCTAATAACTTATACTATCTGAAGAATGTGATATGCTCAGCCTGGAAAGCTTTTGCAAGGCGCCGACAGCTAAAACGAAATAAAAATCATAATTAATAAAAAGTGAATGGATAAGATATTTAACTACAATACGTGCATGTAAAACTACGTAATAAAAATGATCTAAGGGTCACTAATGATCCTTTGGGGGTCCAATGATAAATGGTAAATGATTCAGATGTTAGGTGTAATAGATTGGTCTCAAAAAAAATTGAGGATTTCATGTATTTTGTTATGAAAAGATGCGTTAAAAATTATTATTAATTATCCACATGAAATTTAACAGAAATTTTTATTTTCTGAACAAATCGTCATATTTCAAATTAATATAAATTTCAATTGTCTAAGAATTTATTTAGGATATCATGCTTTGAAACTCAAATACACTACAAAAAATTTAGTTAAGGGCAATAAAAATTCAAAAGTTTACTCCTATATATTTTTATTTTTTAACAGGTAATCATCAAAATTATTTTTCACTATTTACAAACTAACTCCAAAAGAAGCAATTTTACATAATTCGTTTTTATGAAACTATTGGTTGATCATCCAAAAGCTACTTTTGGATTGCAATAAATATAATTTCATTAAAAGATCAATGAAAAATTCAATAAAAATATTTTTTGAAAAATTGAAAACAAAAAATATTAGCTATCTAAAAAACTAGCATATATAATATATTATATTATTGAAATTATTAAGATCATGATAAATGCTAATAACTAATTATTAAATAAATGAATGGAAATTAAAAATGTTAATGTGTAATGATTAATAACAACTTTTCCTAATTTTCTATATTTAATATGGTGATAAAAATTTCATAGTGATCTAATATTCTACTATTCATCATGCATTGCTGGAAAAATAAAAATAAATCAAATTATTCAAAAATTTTGGACCGCAAATTTTATTCAATACATACCAAGTTTTTCCGTTTTGTGGTTAGCGTTAATTAATCAATATTTTATTATTAAAAACAAATAAATTTAAATAAAAAAATATCATAAATAGTCAATAAAAGTTGTCTACCTATTTCTTCTAGGGGCAGAAATTCAGAATTGAATTCTAATATTTATTTTTTGGATAAATTATGAATTCAAAAGTAGTTGAATTTAAATATCGTTTACTATCGCGATAAATAAGAAATAATTTATTTTAAAAATAAAATGGGTGTGAAAAAACTCAACAATAAGAAAACATTTAATTCTCTCTTAATAGTTCATATATTGATGCATAGTAAGCACATTACACTTAAATATTTATAGTTATATATAATTCTTTAACAATTTTCGGCAGTTTATGTCTAAACAAAGATCATCTACTTTTAAAAAGTTTTCTTCACAAAACATTGAATTTTTTTCAGACTAATAGCGTATTTTAATTTCATTTTTGTCAAATAATGATAGTGGCATACACCTTAATGAATAATAATAAAAGTTCTTAAATCAGACACTATAATGACAAATTTATCAATCATGCAATTTGAAGCAAAAATAAAATATTGAATAACCACAATTTCCAAAATAAAATTTATAAATACGCCAAAAGCCGATGGATGAAAAATGATTTTGATGATTCGTGAATTTTGATGATTTAACAAAACATAATCCAATCATTTTTATAAGTTGTTGAATTTTTTTATTTATTAAAGCACAGTGCTAATTAAATAAATAAATATTTTTATTTACTATACAAGACCCAAATTTATATTAAAAAATAAAATTTGATTCTCTGTTTTCAAAAAATGATTGATAATGTTTATTAAAGTAGTTTGCATAAGAATATATGAAGTAAATAAGTTAATATGTATTAATGAATATTAATTATCTTAGTCTTTATATACAGTTCATTTTTAAATAATTATAACTTCCATAGAATTTAATTATAAACAGAAACATTTTGTACACATTGTTTCAATATCACAATAATATATATTTAAACAAAGAAAAGATTTGAAACCGCAATACTATTTAAAACTAGTATAAGCTCACAATTATTTTATTTTTGAGAATTAAAATTATTTAAGACAACAAATTAATCAGTTTACTATCCGCTACATAATTTTGTAAACATTGTAAATATAGCTTTTCTCTAATTATTTTTTTAAGTATCCTAAATTTTATAGTCAGCAACAATGCATAAACAATGTGCTAAATTCCAAGTTATGTGATTAATATTTTTTTAAAGTCTGGTTTAACAAATTTTACTCATTTATAAACAGTATTTGGGCATCTTGCCACATTTTGTATATTTTTTTATTTAGCTTTTTAGTGGACTAGAAATCGAATTTGGAATGTTAGCACTTACCGTATCCTTCTCCTTGGAGGAAAAGTCTGAAAGCTTCGGATACTTTGGCAGGTTGCTCTTCTAGAACCATTCCACATTCACTTATCTAAAATAGAAAACATATATTAATAAAAGATAATTTAAAATAAAAAAAGTTATAAAAAGTTTGTAAGAAAATTGATGAAAAAACTATGGAACTTTCGTGGTTTATTACATTTTCTTTTTGTATCACCTATAACTACTAATAAGAACCTAAGATTTAAATGCCACCAAAACTTTTGTTTCAAGAATAAAAATATTATCACTTTAGTATTGAATTGTTCAATAAACTAATCCTGAATTGTTTTTTAAAATTGCGTAGCTGGAATCACATCATTACTATTCTGCATTTATTAAATAAATTTAATATTAAAGTCAGATTTTAAAAACTAATTATTTATATATTTAACTAATGTAATGATGTATTTAACTATGTAATGATAGTGTAATTGGGTAAAATCATAAAAAAATTATCTAGATTCTATATTTGTTGTTGTTGTTATTATGTTGGTAGTCAAAGTCATATCCAAAACAAATGTTTACAGTTTTAAGTACATAGCAAACTTGATTTATTTTTTTAAGATAGAAAAGCCTTAAAGTTCTGCTCAGTGATTTTCTCTTATGAAAACATGAAGCCAAGAATAAACGTTGAGGTTTAGGAATTAGCGCCAATTATAATTAAGTGTACGCAAATTCTATCAAAAATATAAGAAGTTGCCAAAATCTCACTGTTTGGAATTTTTGATATCTTAAACTTTAACTGTCCGGAACAATTGCAAGAACCCTCCTCTCCTAGAAAGCACTTATTTTCGACAATTATAATCTAAATTGTGTAAAATAATTCCTAAAAAGTTTTTTTTTACAATATCAAATTAAAACTGCAGTTGTATTCAAATAGTACAAAAAGGCATGTATAAAATACGGAACTTATATAAAATATATAATGACACAATACTGCCTTACTTGATCTAAACCTTGTACATATAGAAGATGAAAATTTTTGTTGAACTTGAAAAATTAGTAAAACCCACTTAATAAAAACTTATAAAATTTTTATTTTTTTATAATTAACTTTAGCAAGAAATATCGCTATTATTGTGTCTTTTTGAAGTCAAGTCTCTTTACTCGGTTTTCGGTTCAATATTTGTAAGAATTTTAATATTTGCAATATATTTAAAAAAACTGAGAACAATCTTGGAAAGACAAGGAAACTGGATCGGACTTTTTCTGCAAAAAGAGTGCCTCCTGCACGACGTAGTCGAGAGTAAAATAGAAGGAATGAAAGAAATGGGAAGAAGAAGAATGTAGACGATTGACGACTTACGCGAGGAGAGAAAATACAGGGAACTGAAAGCCAAAGCACATGATCAAGAAGCATGGAAGCAGAAATTTGGAAAGGAAAATACATGAGTGAATACATGAGATAAAAAAGCGGCAGGGGAATGGGAATGATAGACGAAGGGTAAGGAGGTCATTTGTTTGTGGTGGCTCTCACACCATGGACTTGCCTTATTATTATATTGAAAAGTAGAAGGATTTCAAAAGTTCGCGACAATCAGGAACAAAAAACCTAAACCTGGTATAAATATTGCTTCTAGAATAATCCAGGTGCATGGTGGACCATCCGGGACCGTCCCGGATGGATCAGTTAATGGTTACCTTAAGGATCAAATCATATTAATCTTACTTAAGGGTTAAAATCACCTTGCTCTGCTTCCATGCCTCTTACATACGAAATAATTGGTAGATCATATCATAAGTCCTTTATCTCACCTTCATCCAAGTGGAGTTCTTTGGATCCAGACGTCCGTTCAACGTGACAGTGTCATCGACATGTGGCGATAGGCTTCCTGTAATGTTCATTACGGGCATCTTTAATGTCATATCGTTGTTCTGAGGTCCGGATGTCGGGCTACGGGCAATATTCATATCCGTTCTTCTCAAATACGTGTCTATCAGCATCGAAAGATTCACTGGATTTATTTGCTGCTCGAAGTAATTCTTGTAGACTTGGACGAGGTCGTGGTTACGCTCTTCTGTATTCTGTAATAGAAAAAAATGGTTAAAAAATGAGTAATATGCCTAAAAACTGCTGCACAACCTATATGTGATCTTTTGTGAAGCTTATATTTAAATAAGGATGTCATAGATATGAAATGAGATTGACCATCAAATATAGGTTTGTTAGCCTTGGTACTTGTATAGTTCGAATGTCAAAGTTCAAAATATTTCTGAATATCTTACTCTTCCAAAGTGGTGCCACATCAGATAATCCACAACACCCTGGGTCATCCCTTTGGATTTTAAATGACGGGCGTTCAATTTCTGGTAACCCCATTCGATCCAACCAGAAACCGTGCTCACGCAGTTTACCAGACAAAGAGCACCAACCTGTCACAAAATTTATACAAATATTAAAATAATTTCAAAAACAAATTGTAGCTGGTGAAGTATTGCTCTACCTGTTCTGGATGTTCGATAGCAAATCTGGCCAAAACGTTGGCTCCAAATCCAACTCCAAAACCGATAACAGATTTTAGTCCAAAATGAGTCAATACGAAAGGTAATTGCCCAGCCAGTTGGTCCATCGTAGGATACACATAGCTGTCAATAGAGGAATAAGAATTATTTACAAGAATTCGTATTATTGGATAAAAAATAATAAAAATATTCCTACTCTTCTGGGTAAGTAGGAGCTCCTTCTTCTTGTCCAGGTGCGGTGACATGATAAACGCAAAAGTTTTCAAGTAGAGCTCTCATTGAAGGATAATTAAAGAAAGCACTGAAACTTGACGAATCTGGAAGAAACATGCATAATTCTATGAGGATTAATTCGATTTAGTATTATATTCAATGAATATCTTCCATCTAAGTTTCTGTTATGAATTCCAAAGTTTTAAGCACATTGTTGACTCGAAACTAGACGATAAAGTTTGTTGGAATTATTCGCAACAGTTTGAAACTTTGAAACTGTTAGTGGAAAATTGGGTTTAATGCAAATAGTGTGAATTGTTTAAAATATTTAGTATCCGTCTGTAATTGTCTGGAATTGTTCTGTAACTTTCCAAAATAGGTTTCAGAAACGTTTTGAAAGATTAAAATGATTCAATTTACTCAAGAGTGAATGAATATAAATGTTTATCTTCACAATTCTTCCCGTCTATATTTATAATTTTTATTTTTTTTTCTACTTACAGTTCAATCCAAGATCATGATAAGTCAGAATTGCTGGTTTTGTGCAATCACCAACTACAGCAACTTGCAATTCACCATGATCAGTAGGGACTCTGGAAATTGTTCCAATGCTCTGCCTTGGAGCAGTTCTTGATGATGGAAATTGGAGCTGAATTGATTTTAGTTCGATGTCGTCCATTGGATCACAAGGCATGGTGTTGCTGATTTTTGGAGTTGGGGAGAAAATGTGGAAAAGCATCGATTAGAAAGGTAGGATAAAGTAATAATATAATTAACATATTTTTATTGAGTCAATAATTGAACTCCTAAACGCCCTTATCGATTTTTCTCATAGTTCTAGTTTATAATAATTAAAAAATAATTTTCGTACGATTCGTGGTTTACCTAAAATTAGCCCTGACTGTTTTTGATTGACCGTATTCATTCTATTCTAAATTTTGATCTATATATTTTCTTTAATTAAAATTAATTAATTCAAATTAAAGTAAAGCAGAATATAATAAGTTAGAACTGTGTTTTTAATATTTCGTTCTACTAAATTTCTTTGGGCGTTTCTTTGGGTGGTCTCAAGGCGTGTCCAATACTCAAGTCGTAGTAAAAATATTTATAATTTCTATACAATATTTATATTCTAAAGGAATTCAATTCTACTGCGTTATATTTTCTGAGTTGATAAACTAAGTCAATAACGTTTAACTGTACCTCCTAATTGGCTTGTCACGCTAAATTAAAGACTTAGGAGCGTCTTGTATAAACAGTAACAATAATATATATGAAGGTCAATAAGAACTATATAGCTTCAAATTATGGAAATATAGCTACGTAAATTATTCCTGGTGATTTAATGCAAACTTTATATATGTATCTATGTCCTGATAAAAAAAACAAGGATATATTGCTATCCAACTATCACCTACTATCGCTTGGCATTTTTGTTTTTGTCGCTATCACTAATTTATTTTAATTATACACTAATTTGATTAAGTCAAACGTATATAGTATAGCCTAACGTTTTTACTCAATTTAAATAATTTAATACAATTTTTGGTATACTTTGGGTTGGTTCACACTTTTACTTATTAGATTAAATTTCAATTATATATAAATATATATAAATTTATTTCTGTGTAAATTATTTATAGATTGCTATAATAATTACAATGATAATTACAATTCTAATTTCAAAATCATGCGTCTACTTTTTCGTGCATATACGTCTACAGCGCATTATAAATGCTTCTTTTTCTACAATTTCTATATTAATAATTCTAAACTATAATGAAAATAAGTCATATTTTCATTTTTGAACTATAATGGAAAAAATCATATTTTGTATGAAATTTATTTGGTTTTATGTCAAAATTATACCTTATGTATCTCCAAAATTCTAATTGTCAATATTAAAAAGAATTCGTATATTCATTTTTAAAATGCCGTAAAATAGACCAGTTTTAGCAAGGCTATGTTATGTAACAGTTTTCATATAAAGTGGTACTAAAAACTGTCAAAATTCTATATGGTTGATGTGCAGTCCATAGAGAACCTAACCTAGAAACCGCACAAATGTCAAAAAAAATCGATCTTAGATAACAGGGTCTTTCTGACTCAGCTTCATAACATACAAGTGACGTTGCAGTTTATGTGAAAAACGCCTGATAGTACAGCAAATACATGGTATTGTGACGGTATTTAGTAGCATTTTGTATGAAAACTGAGACGTAACATAGCTTTCATATAAAGTGGTACTAAAAACTGTCAAAATTCTATATGGCTGCTGTGCAATCAAGCGTTTTAGATAACCTAGAAACCGCACAAATGTAAAAAAACGATGCTAGATAACAGGGTCTTTCTGACCCAGCTTCATAACATATAAGTGACGTTGCAGTTTATGTGTAAAACTGTGATCGCACTGCAAATACAAGGCATTTCGACAGTATTTAGTAGCATTTTGTATGAAAATTGGAACGTAACATAGTCTTGCTATAAAATTGGTCTATTTTGCGACAAAATCGGCTCCTCTATCTAAAAAAATAATATTTTGTATGAACTTGTTATTATATCGTATCAGAAATATTTCGTCCATATCTTCGCTGTGTATATCTGGAATTCAAATTCTTAATAGAAAAAATTATACATTCATTTTTAAATTAAAACGAAAAGAAATAATATTTTGTAGGAAGTTGTTCGTTTGTATCTTTTCCACATTCTCGTTGAAAATATTTATGAAATATTACATTGAACTAATTAAGAAATTACTTTATGAATAAATTTTAAATGATTTTTATGCAAAATAGTAAAAACCAAAAACATTTAAAATTATGAAGAAAAATGATGTCTGTTAAACTTTAATTTTACCTTTAGGACTTATTGGGCTTTTCATTTACACATATCCTAATACTATTGCATATTATGTTTACAAAAATTTAATATTATAAAAAAGCAATTTCGCAAAATAAGGAACAAATAGTATCATTTCCCTTTTTTGCCAAAAAACAGCTTTTCCTTCTTATCTTGGCAACGAAAATAAAGCACAAATTTCCTCTACCCGTTTTGTCACAAATCAATTTGTCCTCGATAAAAACACACATATACATATAAAACCACACAAATACACATACATAATGATTACTTCAATCATCTATTACAAGAAGTATTGTAATAACATATAAACAATATAATAAAAACACAATAATTTCAATCAACTGTCAAACAACTGACTATACTTTGTCAATTGACCTCTATTAGGAAGTGCATAAACAGAAATTGTTTTTATTTATTATTATTAATATGCAATGCAAAGAATCGACCGAATGCAAATTTTTATGTCATCAAAGGTTAAAAAAAGGCTATCTTTGTAATTGGCAAGTAATTCACGCGATTTTGTTTGTGATGATTTATTGTTAAATAATTGAATGGTAATAAATGAAATATAAATATTTTGTTATCAGTCATTTATTTATTGCAAGTGCCAATTAGTTATTATTTCAATTATATATTTTGGGCAAAATTTAACATTAGGATACGGAAAGTAATTTTTTTTTTATTTCTCTAAAATTTATTTTAATAGTAGTTTTGACAGATTTATACTTCTACTTATCAGAAAGTTTTAAATGTTTATATATAGTTGATTCTAAAGATTTACCACGATATTTTTATTTATTCTTAAGAAAATATTGATATCACTATTGAAATATATCACAATTATAATATTTTTAACTAATGCATTAATGAATTATTTTTTTAACTTACATTTTGTTCATCCTTTATATGAATTCATTATTCTTCATCAATCAGTTAATATTTTAATTATATATTTGGGCAAAATGTTGAACTATGATATGAGATGTTTTAATTATTTTGTATTTTTAATTTTTTTAAATATAATTTAATCGTAAAATATTTTGCCAGAAGGCCCGTTGGATGATTTAAACTTCTACAAATCAGATAGATTTAGTTCACGATTTTAGATCACGAAATATTTGGAAAAATTTTAATGGGTACATATTTTTGAGAGTGATTTATAGGCAGATATAAATATCGGTACTGCATTAGGTCAAAATTAAATTATTTTCAAATTTATTAAATTATTTTTATAGTTATTTGATGATTAAAATTCGTATTGAATATTCATTTATTATTCTTCACAATAGTATTTTCATTATAACGTTTAAATTAAACGTTTTTTTTTTCAAATGAATAAGTTTATAAAAAAGTTGTATTATTATATTAAAATATTACAAAAATGCATATTGCAGGATGTGTTATTGCATTCAAGTACCTTAGTGGAACAATTTATTCTTCTAAGTCAAATTAGGAAGGTTTTTGATTTATTCATACCAGTATATATATTATTTAGATGTAGATATTATTTTTAAATCGAAATGAATTTTTTACCATCATTTTAGATAAAATTTATATTATACGTTTCAATAATTGCAATATTTTTTAACATATGTATTCAAGTTATTAATTCTAGAATTTTATTACAATTGCATATCTTATTCAGACATTGAATTTTTTCAAATCAAACTGGATTTCACTCCAGATACCAAATCCATTATTCATAATAAAGTTTATAATATACGATTTAATGATTGCTATCATCATTTGTTTGTCCAAAATGCCTTTCAAACAAACACGATGACTCAAACTATATGAGTCATGGGTGTTGCTCAAGATTTCATCATGTACGAAATGCGTAATTATATTGTAATAATACATGAAAAAATGCTGTGAAATTAACCAACTGTTGTACTTACATTCGTAGCCTGAATAATTGCGTAAAGATCTTCTGAATAAAAATATACTAAACAAATTGTTTTGTACTCATATCGATTTGGAGAACTCTGTTATAACTAGTATACTTATTTTAAAGAATTTAAAATCTTTACTTAAATTATTACAATCGTATTTAGTGTACCGCATTAAGCCTTTTCAAAAGTAGAAAAAACCTGAGCAAGTACACGCTCGCGGTCATATAACACCTTAACATCGACCAAATGATGAGCTACGGATTTGAAATTTGGTATATCGTATTTTCTCGGAAATACCTATAAAATGGCATCAAAATCATTTGATTACCAGGGTGGGGCCAATTCTGTATGGAAATACGCCCATACCATTTATGATAATTAAGATTTCAGAAGACACAAAATCCACATCGACTTGGAGAACTCTCTTATAACTAGTATACTTATATTTAAATCTTTAAAATGCTTACTTAAATTATTAAAATCGTTCAGTGTACCGCATTAACCCTTTGCGCTCGTATGGCGACATAAAATGGTTACGAGTGCAAAGGGTACTTATAAAACATTCACGTTTGGCATGAAAATTTCCATTTCGTGGAAAATTTCCTCGTATTTCCTACTTGTCTTTTTTATTTTTTTTTCAAATTTCTTCTTCTTACCCAAGAAGGGCGGTCTCTTCCGCCGAATTTGGCGCCGGCATGTCTGAATTCGTGTTCCTAACGTTCGCAATGTTGGCAGCGCTTGTCTGACGCCCGCTAAAATTAAACATGAAGAAAAAAAATACTATGACTATCCGGAACAATTTTTTCCCTTGATTTGATGAGAAGATATAAAATTTCCATTTTATTTACATACACTGAAGATCGATTAAAATTTGAACTAAAAGTGTTGATTTCGTGTAAAATTTGGAACTGAGAAGGTGTTTGTTATTTACAACATTTATATGATGATGCTTGGTGAAGACAATTGTGGGATCGTGCTGGTGGTTATTTATAATATATTGTATTCTTAAAATTAACGCTAACAATTAGTCGAAAATGAAATAATAAATATTGGAAAATATACTGTATTTATATATATCGAAAATTAGTACCACATTTAAAACGAATTGTATGCAGTTATTTTTAAGAATACATGTTTCAACTTTATACATTTAACTTATTTATATAGGTACATGACGGGTTGTTATTAGAAAGATTGGAATATTTTAGACAAAGCTTACAAATTTCCTATTCCTAATATTTTGTAAAATTTATAAACTTGGTCTGAACATTCCAATCATCGTTTTGGATACATATAATTTTCATTCCCGTATTTCTGCATGCACAAATGAATTTTATTCCTGATGTGGAAACAGAAAATATTACTTTGTGGTATTTTTATAATTATTTTATGATTTTAATACACATAAGTTTTGTTTATTAGTATATTAATATGATTTGGGTGCATTTTGTGACGGTGCAGTAAAAGCTCATTGTGAAAGCTTTTATCGAAGATCTGTGTGTAAAATTTATTTTACTGCGGTTTTAAAAGCATTTAACTACTTATTATATTGGTAATTTATGCAGTTGATATATTTTTTCATGGTACGTTTGTAAACGACATTTTAATAGGTTTCATACGACTTTTTGGCAAAATTCCATCTATCATGGTTACCAGTTCAATGAACGCACACGCTTATTGTTTTTTACACAATAAATAAATTCTAAATTTATCTAATACTAAACTCTATTCAAGTTTTTACAGCATTCAAATGTAACAGTCTTTCCGAATAGTAATGATAAATTTAATTCAAAAAGCGCTGTTTGTTTCTACTCGCAGTCTTGCACATTCCTTGTGAAATGAGGTCAAACTAATTTTATAAATTGCTCTTTCTGGATCTAAAGAGAAGTATTGTTAAGAAGTCACTTTGAAACTTCCCAGAAATTGATGATATTATTATTATTTAGATACGGGGCTTTAATTAGAACAGAGGCTTTGGTATATATGTATATTTAGTGAGCGGATTTAATTAAATTATTCGCAAGCGAATTTGATGAATGATATACGAAATAGAATTTACATTGTTGACGTTGATGATGAAATAAAATTATGGAATAAAACTCACTATGATTTATTATATATAATTTAAACTTTTGGAATAGAACGGAATTGCATTTATGGATAATTGAGATGAAAAATTGAAATTTTGATTTAGTATCGTTTAAATGAGTGGTTCCCAAAATGGTAGACATGGACCCCTGAGGAAATGATCGAGGGTCTGCGGCAGTGGATCACAATACCTCATATTGATATCTGTTGTCTTATATTATACTATCTACAAAATAGTCATATAGATACAATATTCATAAATAGAACTTAAAGTATATAAAAAATTGTATTTTTTATAAAAATGTGAAAGATGTCAATCGATTTGATTCCAATATGATTGTTGACCTTGTACAGACCCAATTTGTTGACTATCGAAGAATTTTACCCATATTCTTTGCAATTTTAGAGACCGACATTCTGGATAAAAACCGATTAAATAGTTTGTAAAATAGTGGTCTACATGTAAGATTAAATCTTACAATATTGTTCTCAAATATTGATAAATAAACAATTACTTTGCGCGTACTTCATTTTTAACTTACCGTAGGGTAAGTTATAGTAACGAGCCAAAAATCGAAATTTTTTGCATATCAGTTTCAGAGGTTTCTGAACATTTTGGCATACCTCAGAGATGAATGTGTGTGTGTGTGTACGTGTGGAGACAATTTTTCGTCGACTATTTCGGGCGTATGGATGAACCGATTTGAAAAATTGAAAAAGCAATTGATTTGTATTGATAGGGAGGTGTGCTGATTAGTTTTTGGCAAAGGCAGGTTCAGCCGTTACGGAAAAACGGAGCAAAGAGTGCAGAAAAGAGAAACCGAGTTTTTGAGAGAACGAAGTATCCGATTTCAATGATCCAAAAAACATTCTGTTTGTGTTGGCAAAACAATTGTTTTTAGGAAAAAAATTTTTTTATATAATTTTTTTTCAATTTTTTTTTTGTTTATCGAAAATAATTCAGCTTTTAATTTTAATTCTGGCTAAAGTTCTGAAGTCAGTTTATATAATTCTTATAAATATTAGAAAATGTTGCAATATTTATAATAATCTATTTGAAAACATTTAATATTTCTCGACGATTTCGTTACGTTACGGAAAGTTCCAGCAATTTGCACGATGCCATATACCACTAGTTTAATTATTATTTCAAATTAAATTGTTAAATGTATACAAATAACATATATTTTAATTTCAATATATATTAATAAACTTTAGTACAGTTAAAAATGTAAAAAATGTAAAAAAATTTGATGTAGGGTAAATAAAAGGTCCTAGACATAGGACCTAAATAGGGGTCCACGACACAAAAAGTTTAGGAACTTATGGTTTAAACGTACAAAACTGCGCAATGTTCTTTAAATAATGTGTAATATTATGATTAAAGATCATGCAAGTGTTCTTAAAATAGGATGGGTCAAAGACCTTAAAATATTATTTAGGTACTATTGATTTGCATGAAATTCGGCGAACACAAGTTAATATTAAATTAGTTTTTGATTGCAATATTGAAAAAACACATTTTCAAAAGTTTCCAATTTGTTGGCATTCCTTTATCAATTGTCACAAAATCCACACACATCTAATTAAGTCATATTACCATCTGAATCTTTTTCGCAATATCAGCATTGCGTCGACACAAAAACAAATATTTGAAAAAACTTGGCAAAAAAGATGACAAACGAGATTGCAGACAAAAGTACAATATTTGTTGGATGCTGTCGTGCATTCAAAATTTACTACTTGGTTATGTAAACTTTACAACCGTTTCTTCATAGAGGAAATCTTTTTGCAATAAAATATTTTAAATAATAATCATATAAGCTCTACTCGTTATAAGAGATTAAATGATACTAAATAACTCTGAGCAATGGCTGTGTGTTTTATTAAAGGCAGAATTAATTGAAATGGGTTTTAAATATTCATATTGGATCATCCTTGACGATTTGACGCATTGGTTTAGTTCCATAGTCAGCTGGTGACAACTTTTGATGTCTAGAAAAATTTTCCTTAATCTGTTCATTACCAGATTAAATAGTGACGGATTTGTCAAACGTATTGACAAAATGCATACATAAATATATGTAAGTCTACATTTGTGTCTGTATTCAATATTCACCTTTACTCTACCTATATCTGGTGCTCTACCTTTATCTTTACTCTACCTATATCTGGTGCTCTACCTTTACCTTTACTCTACCTATATCTGGTGCTCTACCTTTACCTTTACTCTACCTGCATATCTTTACTACCTATATCTGGTGCTCTACTTTTACCTTTACTCTACCTATATCTGGTGCTCTACCTTTACCTTTACTCTACCTATATCTGGTGCTCTCCCTTTACCTTTACTCTACCTATATCTGGTGCTCTACCTTTACCTTTACTCTACCTATATCTGGTGCTCTACCTTTACCTTTACTCTACCTATATCTGGTGCTCTACTTTTACCTTTACTCTACTTATATCTGGTGCTCTACCTTTAACTTTACTCTACCTATATATGGTGCCCTACCTTTACCTTTACTCTACCTATATCTGGTGCTCTACCTTTACCTTTACTCTACCTATATCTGGTGCTCTACCTTTACTAATTAAATTTAATAATTAAATTTTCGCTTTCATCATAACGAATTCAATTTCGACATCGTCGGAAATGACTCGAGTTGATAATTTCATATGTTCGCACTAATTGATTAAAAGCTTTGACCTATTTTCATTAGGTTTTAATAGAGTGTCATAGAAGTTGCCAGGAAATTTGAATTATTTATTTTTCGTGAACGAAAGCTCGGTTTACAGTTTGTGTATTTGTTCGATACGTAAAAGTTTTCTCGAATGAATAATGGAAAAGGAAAAACTCACCGAAGCGAAGAAAATATTTCGGTAGGAATTTTAAAGAAAATAATGTGAATTGAAGCAGAATAAATAATTATTAAAGTTTTGGAGTGCGCTTGAGAAATATACACATATAATAAATATAAAGCTTTTTCTTTGTTGCATTGAACTTTGTATGAAGTTCTTTGATTAAGAAATTGCTGACGTCAAGTGTAAAATAAGCATAGAGAATTCTTTAGTATTTTTGATATAATCTACAAATATCAAAATTATTTTTTTAATATTTGAAAACTATATTGTGCAGATTTAAAAATTATTCATTATTGTAGAATAGTTTCACCAATTTTTCGTAGAGTCGTTGATGATGAAATAAAATTATGGAATAAAACTCACTATGATTTATTATATAAAATTTAATCTTTTGGAATAGATCGAAATTGCATTTATAGATTATCGAAATGAAGAAATGAATTTTTGCTTTAGTATCGTTTAAACCAGTGATTCCCATATACGACTAGTTCTATAATATTGGTTTAGTTCCATTTAAGACAACGGATCGACCGATTTGAATAATCAAAAAAACATTCAATTCGTAATGACAGGGAGAAGTGGTAATTAATTTTTGGCAAAGGCAGGTTTAGCTATTTCTAAGGTACAGCACTAAATGTGCAAATATCTTATAGTCTATATAATATATTCTTTATGTATAATATTTTAAATAGAGAACAAGCAAATTTTTGGTAGTAACTTAGAAAGCCTAAATCGAATATTTCAAAGTTATCTTTATTTACTTAAAAATAAAATAGAATCGATTACTAATCGTTTTCGA